CAACACCCCGACGACCTGCAAAGATATGTAGGACAGCTAGATCCACGGATGGGCATTCATGATGAAACTCACGGTTGCTGAGACTCTAAGAAGGGGGGGGCGTGGTCGAGCCACTGCGATAGGTATGGGACTACGTACGCCCCCAGCCGTTCAAGGAACTCCTCGGGCAACTGTTGGAGGAGGATGAGGGGATATGAGGAGAGGGGGGAGGAGGAGAAGGAGGAAGAAGAGGTTGGGGCGGAGAGTATTACGCGGAGGCCCTGTGGGAGAACCTTGTGGCATTCTTGAGGCTTCCAGGGAGTTTGTCGGGGGCCTCGTGGGGCCGTGTTGGGAGTCTTCTCGGGCCTCTTGGGGTCTTTTTGGGGGTTCTTGGGGGCTTCCTGTGCCGTTTTATGGGGTTCCTGGCCCGTCTGACGCCGTCGGAAGCTGTGTTGGGAGCTTTGCGGTGCCGATTGGGGGCCCTCGTGGGGTGCTTCGGGGCCGTCTTGGAAGCTATCTTGGAAGTGTTGGAGGGCTATTGGGTCGTCGTGGGGCTCTCTTGGGGCCGTCTTGGGTGCCTATGGGTTGTGCTGGGGCCAGCGTGGAGGCCTCCTGGACGATCCGGGAGCAATGTTGGAGGCCTTCCTGAGCCATTTAGGGGCTTTCATGGGTACTATGTTGGCGTGGTCCGGCCAGTGTGGATTTGCCGGGGGGGGGTCGGATGTAATTTTATAGGATGAAAGGAATATATATATATATATATATATATATATATATACATATATATACATACATACACATACATATATATATATATATATATTAGTCACATTCATTTGTTTCCCAACCATGGGGCCCTCGTTTTGAAGAGCCAGCGCCCTGCGGCTCCTCCTCTCCTCCTTCATCCTCCCATCCCTGCCTCTGCCCTGCGCACCCAATACGGCGTGTCGCCCCACCCAGTACAGCGCTTCGTGGCCCCCTAGCGAGCACCACCGAAGGTCCCAATGGCTGCGCCCGCATGCGCCCGCGGGCGGCACAGCCTTTACACGCTTCGTGGCCCCATGAGGAGATCCACCGAAGGCGATACCCACAACGGCGATGCTCACAGCTGCATACGGTTGGGGCCTTCGCCCGGATTTTGGTTGGGGGGCTGGGGCCTGGAAGCGCCAAGCCCAGGCCCCTTTACCGGACCCACAACGTTGGGAAAGGAAACCCGCGGGACAAAAAACGTTTTCTTCCTCCTCCTCCTCCTCTTCCTCCCTCCTCCTCCTCCTCCTCCTCCTCCTCCTCCTCCTCCTCCTCCTCCTCCTCCTCCTCCTCCTCTTTGTCCTCCTCCTCACCCTCAATTCCCCTTCCTTATAAATATTCCTCACATTTATGACGCTGAAGTTCAAAATTGGCAACCGCTTCACATATGGAGGGTGGTTCACTTCGAAAATGTGACTGTCGCGCTAGCGCCGTGCGCATTCGTTTCAACAGATTGAACGAGCTTCGGGGATTGAGGGCGGGCCGTTTTCAAATGTGGCTCGCGCCGTAGCGCCACGCGCATTCGTTTTAACAAATTGCAAGAGTTCCGCGGATTGAGGACAGGTTGTTTTCAACATGTGGTTCTCGCTTCAGCGCCGCGCACATTCGTTTAAACAAATTCTAGACGCTACGCGTATCCCCGCCAGCTACGACCCGCTCTCTGGAATCGTCCTTGGAACCGCAGGTCAAAAAAAAATATCCCCACCAGCCCCCTGCGGTGGCCTTGGGCGGCCCGTATCTGTGTGCACGCTCGGTGGTTTCGCTTGACCAGTGGCCATTCGGATCCTCTTTCTGTGCCGCGCCGTCCATTTTGGCCCCGCCTCCGTTTGTGGTTCGGCTGGAGCTTGGCGCCGAAAGGGCGTCTTCTCCCCCCCGTTCCGCCGCCGGTCGCCGCGCCTTGGCGTCCCCACCTGCTGGGATGTGTGTGCCGGTCACCTGCCGACGCCGCTGGCGTCTCAATGAGGGGCATTTTGTCCCTGGCATGTGCATTCGCCTCTGCGGCCAATTATCTTCGTTCCGCGCCCCGGACGTTGACCCGCTCCGTGTCCGCCGCCTCGGAGCCGCCGACCCCAAAAAATATCTCCCCACCAGCCTGGCGCCGCCTCGCACCCGCCAGGCCTCGGCAGGTACTTTGGGTCGCTCTGAAGTGCCCACACTGGTCACATCGCGGTGCCCACGCGCCATTTTGGCCGTGCCGCAGCATCTGCTGCCCAATCATGCGCACCCCTTACGTCTTGACGTCTGTCTACAATTCACATCGCAATTCGCAGACCCTGGCAGCCAGCCGCCCTGGCTGTCCGTACTTTGCAGTGTGTTGTTTGTGTGCACCCCTGGCAGTGCAGCAACCTTGGCAGCCACCGCTATCCTTGCAAGGACGCTGTGTGGGCGCTCTCGGCTCCCGGCCCCGGCATCCACTTTCAGCGCAGCTGCAGCTCACGCGAGGCGCCGCTTAGTCCGCTTAGGCTGTTTAGGTTGTCGGCTCTAAGTTGCTGTCGTCAATTAGTAGGCCCGCGCCCCGGACTTACAACACGCCGTGTGCGCTTTCGCCCGCGGCCGCGACCAAAAAAAGTATCCCCACCAGCCCATCCACAAACGATGCGTAGAGGAGCTGACGGAAGAACGGAAGACGAGACGCACACACACATATATATATATATATATATATATATATATGTATATATTGGGCGTTTCTTGGAGGCATTTTGGGGCGTCTGGGGGTCTCTTGACCGTCCTGGAGAGCTCCTGGGCGTATTGACTGCCTCGGGGGGGCTTCGTGGGGCCGCCGGGGACCCTCTTGGGGGCCTCTTGGAGGCCTCTTGGGGCTATCTTGGGGCCATGGAGAGGAGGAGAGGAGGAGGAGGAGGAGGAGGAGGAGGAGGAGGAGGAGGAGGAAGAGGAGGAAGAGGAGGAGGAGGAGGAGGAGGAGGAGAGGAGGAGGAGGAGGAAGAGGAGGAGAAGGAGGAGGAGGAGAGAGGAGGGGACCAGCCCATCCAGAAACGACGCCCAGGCGAGTTGAGGTGACCAAGGAAGTGCGGGAGCAAAGAGGGGGAGAGCCGAACCGAGCGAAGAAAGGATGATAATAATGATGACGCTGAATGGATGGATGGATGGATGGATGGATGGATGGATGGATGGATGGATGAGGGAGTGGGGAGAAAGATGATGAATAGGATGAGGAAGAGGAGGAGGAGGAGGAGGAGGAGGAGGAGGAGGACGACGACGGGGAGGAGGAGGAGGAGGAGGAGGAGGAGGCGGAGGAGGAGGAGGAGGAGGAGGAGGAGGAGGAGGAAGGGGAAGAGGAGGATGAGGAGGAGGGAAAGGCGGAGGAGGAGGAGCAGGAAGAGAATGTGGAGAAGAAGAATGAGGAGGACGAGAACCAGCAGAATAGCCAGAAGCATCTTGAATGCCTTTCGGATGTCTCTCGGAAGCCTTTTGGATGCCTCTTGGGGCGTCTTGGGGGTATCTTGGCGATCCAGGGGGGCTCTTGGGCGTCTTGCGCGCCTCGGGGGGGGAGCCTCGTTGGGCTGCTTGGGTCCTCTTGGGGGCCTCTTGGGAGCCTCCTGGGGCCATCTTGGGGGCCTCTTCGGGCCTCCTGGGCGCCTCTTGGGGCCATCTTGGAGGAGATCGATCAAAGAAGAGGGTGGTGGCAATTAGCGTCCCCCCTCGGGAGCCTCTAACATCGCCTCTTGGACCCCTCTTGGAGCGCTCTTGGGCGCTCTTGGGGCTGTCTTGGGCTCTTGGGCCCCTCTTGGGGCCTCCTTGGCCCCTCTTGGAGCCATCTTGAGGCCTTGGACGGCCATCGGAAGCGAAAAGGCGAGAAGGCAACAATCATTGGTTTTCCCTAGGTGTTTGAAGGATGTTGGCCTCTTGGAGGCCTCCTTGGGAGTCTATTTGGCCTCTTGGAGCCGTCTTGGGGCGGTCTTGGGGCCTCTTGGAGCATATTCAGAGCCATCTTGAGGCATCTTAGGCTATCTCGAGCCATCTTGGAGCTCATCTTGGGCTCTCCGAAGCGCTCTTGGAGCCGTCTTGGGCCATCTTGGACGCTCTGCCGACCAGCGCCCCCCCCCCCGTCCAGGTCCAGGGGAGGGGGTAGGGGGAGGGGTAAACCCCTCCCCGAAGGGGAAGAAGGAGGGGTGGAAGAGGAAACTCTCTAAACCACCTACGCCCAGAGGGCTGGTGGGATTGCACGAGGTTGACGGATGGAGGGTGGTTCCTTTTTCAAAACGTGGTTCTCGCCTTATCGCCGAGAACCTTCGTTCAAACAGTTGCAAGAGCATCACGGGTTCTCATGGTGAACGAACGTACCAGACATGGCGTTTGAAACGATGCAGCATTGTCAGGGGACAAAAATTATTTGCGGTGTTGAGTCCCGGGATTGGTTTCCTGGCACGATTCAGGGTCGCCAAGACGCAACAGTAAAGTTGATTCGTGGCGTTGAAGCCACACGAATGGTGCTCTGGCACGGTTCAGGATGTTCAAACGGTTGTCTCCCAACAGGGTATTTCCCTCAGTGGAAATGAATATGTCCGGAGGGAGGGTTTATTGCAACATCGTTAATGAGTCTTGGGATTGCACTGGTCCTCCTCCTCCTCCTCCTCCTCCTCCTCCTCCTCCTACTACTACTACTACTCCTCCTTCTCCTCCTCCTCTTCCTCCTCCTCCTCCCCTCCTCCTCCTCCCCTCTCCTCCTTCGATGTGACTTCGTCCTGGCACTCCTGACCCTGACTCTCTCCTCTCTCCCTCCTCTCCTCCTTCATCCTCCTCTCCTCCGCCTCCTCCTCCTGCTCCTCCCCCTCTCCTACCCCTCCTCCTCCTCCTCCTCCTCCTCCTCCTCCTCCTCTCTCCTCCTTCGCTTTCCTCCTTCATCTTAGCTCCTCTCCTCCTTCCTCCCACCTTCTCCTCCTCCTCCTCTCCTCCCCTCCCCCTACTCCTCCTCCTCCTCCTCCTCCTCCTCCTCCTCCTCCTCCTCCTCCCCGCGGCCTGCGCGGCCCGAGGCGCGCCACCCGCTGCACTGGGACAAGCCCGACCGTGTGGGCGTCGGGCCCGGCCTGGCCTTCGCGCGAGAGGCGGCCGCGGAGCCGGAGCTTCTGGGCGCGGGGGGCGGGGCGCCCAAGGGCGTGGCGGGCGTCGGGCTGGTGCTGCAGCACCATTTAATGGCCTTGAGATTCCCCTACCCGTC